ATCTGAAACTTACTCTTTCAATTTCTAATTAACTTTCATTTTTCAGCTTTGCACAAGTATTAAGAACGTCAATAGACGTGTTTTGATTTTTTAGGAAACACACATTGAAAAAGCAAAAATAACCTTGATTATTTAATAATGTACTCCCTCCGTCCCATATTATATGTCATTTTGGGTGGTTGCGTGCATATTAAGAAACTCAATAAATATGCATAAATTATATTAAAAACAACATAGTAAATACTAAAATACCCTTGTCATTAATTATTTTTCAATTAACTAGTTATTAGTGATAAGGGGCAAAATTGATAAAAATGCAATTAATGCTTTATTGGAACTCTAAAATGTCAAATAATTTGTGATAAAAAAAAAACACCACAAAAAGACATATAATATGGGACAAATGGAGTAATTATAAATAGTTAATACTTAGATTTGCATTAATAAGGTCAAAACATGAAAATATCCATTTAACGTCCTCTTGAAAATCCAAAGTGATAGATAATATAGAACAAAAATTCGTATTTCTAAAAAAGAATAATTATCACGGAACAGAAGAAGTATTAAGTAATAGAATGTATTAAGAAATGCACGAACATGCATGCTCCATTCAGGCCCGTTTCTGAGATTTTGGTGGCCCTAGGCGAGATTTGAAGGCGGTAAAAAAACTGGCCGTTATAAATTTTTTAGGGCCCTTCGAATTCTTAAAATAATTCGGGACCCTAAGCAAATAACTACTTTGCCTCCCCTTAAAACCGGCAACCCTGACTCCATTATTAGTGGATATGCAATAATGCATAAGAGTTAGGTGGTGTCTAATATTGGCAATGTCATGTTCTCTTACTTATACGCAAGTGCACTTGATAAGTTATATCGGTAATGTCGTGTTGTCTTTACTTATGATGAGATCATACATTAATTAATTAATTCATCCAATGTTAATAATATTGTCCATATTATCTTTGACTTTACTTGTGACCATAATGCTTATACACTAATCAATGGAAGGAACGTATGTGGGCATGATACTCGTAAAGAAAACAAATTGACACCATTACTTCATCAATTAATTAGGCTAGCTAGACTCTTAGTTCAAATGAAGGGTCAATTAGCAAAAGATTCCTTGTTTTATCTATTATTTTAAGATTCATTACCTTATTTTAGATACAACTTATTTTTTTGTGGTTTCTAGACTCTTATGCAATTCGAATTTTGCAAACCGTAAAACGTGAAAATTGTACGTAACACCACTCATCAGCTTTTCAAGTAAACTTGAATAGCTTAGCGGTTGGAGCAAGTGAGCGTGTGTCAACTGACCCAGGTTTATTTCCAATTGCCAACGGTCGCTAGGTCGAACTTACCACACATGGACATGATCAGCCTAGTGTAGTTTACATCTCTCGTATGGTTTGCAAGTTATTATACAAGAGTGTATGTTTATCCAGTGCACCTATATAGCTAACTGCGGGTTTTTTCATTACCCAAAAAGAAGTAAACTGGAATAAGTGTAATAGAAGTTCGTAAGAGAGAATTTCGATAATATATTTTACTAGCATTAGTCATGATATGATGGATCTTCAAATAAAATTCAAGCACGAGAACTTTTGAATTCAAAGTCTTTGCCTCGACCGCGGCCCAAAGTATGCCAGGGGCCTGCCCCAACAAGAATTATTGTGTTATTTATCTATTAGATTATGTACTTTATCCTCTCATAGTTAAAATTTTATACATCTTAGCCCATAAAAATATTTCTAGCCTCCCATCCAGAATCTCCTAAAGCCGTCCCTGGCCTCGGCTCAAATATTTGAGAGAAAGTTCTCTATTTTTTTGCGTCGCTGGTACCTCTATTTTTCTCTTCTAACTTGCGTGCTACCACTAACAGCTTCGCTTCATTCTCTGCAAAATTAACAAAATAATATGGAAAATAAAAATAATCGACAAAGGTTGAAAACACTGTGCACGTAATTAAGTATTTTAATGGAAAAATCTTAAGAAACATAATAGAAATACTAGTAGAATGGCTTTTTTTAGGGAAGAATGGCTTTGTACTATAATATTATTTCGCAGTCTAAGATACCAAATTCGTAGTAAAATGTTTTCTGGTCTGATTTTACTATAAATTTTCCCCATAACGAATACGGGATTGACAAAAGCGTTGTTACGGTAAACAACAATAGCAAATAACTTTTTGCTTCGTGATGATGCTAAAATATAGCTCACCTAGGGGGTATAGAAAATGAATTGGGAGAGCAAAGCAAATCAGTAGCTTAATAACTTGACGATCCTGAGGTCCCTGCGAAATGAGCACACGTGAACTAAGCCGGGGGTTGATCCGGCGGAAACCCCTCCGACGCTCAAGTCAAATGTACGGATCGTAGAGATAGTAGAGAGAATAAACTCGTAGTTGATTATCAATAATCAGAACGTACCTTTACAAATGAATAAAACCTCTATTTATATGTCGTTGATTGGGTTGGGCTTACATTGTTGGGCCCAAGCCTTGCTTTGAAGGTGTTTGGGTTTTCGTGTAGTGGGCCTAATTAGTAGATAAATTTGAGGGCCCATTGGGCCGGCCCATTTAGGTATATCACTACGGTAATTAAATCCCACCATCTATTACGACTTCCAAATTATCGTGTAGTAAAAGGTATATCTTTTCTAAGGGGCTATATGCCAAACACCCTTGATTGGAATTTTAATTCTTGATAAATTCTTTATTTATAAATAATATTTGAGATAAATTCAACGGGCCTGAAAAACCATATATGTCCCCAATAATTATTAATTAGTATAACTATTTAATTTTTAAAAAATTATACCCATAATCTACACTCAAATCTTCTCAAAAAATTATTCCACTCATCCCACCAATTCAGTTTTTTTTTTCCTTTTCCTTTTTTTTTTATTTTATTTTGTTTAATAGTTTTCTTTATTTCGATTTAAAAGAAAATTTTGTAATTATATTATTTTTTTAATTTTTTTCATTTTCGGTTTTTTATTTAAATATTTTTTTTGTTATTTATATTTTTCATGTGTTTTATTTTAATTTAAAAAAATGATTTTATTTTTATTTTCATTTTTTTCATGGTTTTTCTTTTTTCTTAATTTCGATTTTTTTTAGAAAATGGTTCATTTATTTATTTTATTTCCAGTTTTTTAAAATAAAAACCACTCTATATAAACAACTATGTAAACTTGAAAACCACTCTGTATAACAACTATGTCAATATAATAACCACTCTGTATATACAGTTATATAAAAATATGTACAAAAA